ATATTACACCTAAATTACTGTAAAATTGGCACTAAAATGGCCACCATTTTGAAATGAGCGGCCATTTTGAAAATCGGCTTTCGAGCAGAACTTCTTCCCCCATAGGGTATATGTGTACAAAATATGAAAAAAATTGGGCCAACGGTATTTGAGTTATTGCCCGGACGGACGGACGGACGGACGGACGGATGGACGGAGGCGTTCCCTATATCCCTCTGAACTTCGTTCGATGGGATAATTAGACAGGTTTTATTGTATTTAATATGAGCATCGGCTTTCAACTAGAGAGGTTACTAATTTTCCCTCTAATTTGCTCTGGGCTACTCCAACTAACTTATTGAATAATCTCACCCGACAACACATCCTAGCCAAGTGTTACCATGTAATATCTCCTGCAGCATCTGTGCTAATAATAATTCCACTAGTTAATGTTTAATAATTGTTCTTTTTGCCTGGTAAGATGTTATATTACAAAGTAATCACTGAAACAGATATAAGATCAACACTATTTAATTCATGACTCAAGAATTTTGTAAATCAATCATCTCTTATACAAATCTTGTACTGCAATTGCTTATCAGAATTCATGTACAGGGTGTCAAAAAACAACGGCACCCCCCTCTACATCAAGAAGTACTTAATGTTACATGGTGTGTCTTATCTCATTTTAAAGACAATTTAATTCTAGAGTTACCTGAGAAATTTCAGCTTTATATCATATAATTTTACAGATTTACAGCTGATTCTTAGTAGTTGGTATGACCACCAGTTTCTGCTCAAACAGCAGCTTATCTGGACGGATATGATTTCAATAAAAATTCAGATAAAGGTGTGGCATTGCATAATCCTCTAAGCACTTTCCTCAAATTCTTCAGAAATACATCTTCACTGTATCTTTTTTCAAGAGGCTCTTCGTCCATCAGTTCCTATACCCTGTTTTTCAGAACTGAACCCATATGTTCAGTACAGTTGAAATCTGGGCTAATTCTTTCATATTCCACTTTCTGAAGATTTGACCTTTAACCAGTAACAGAGCAGCAAACAAAGTACCGAAGTAGCAAACTTTAATACAATGTAGCTTTTTTTACATAAAGTTTTATTAAATGAAATTTGAGGAGTAACTCCAGAATTAAATTATCTTTCAAATAATGTATGACACGATATGGAACATTCAGGACTTTTTGCTGTAGAGGGGGTGCTGTTGTTTTATGACACCCTGTACTTATTGATGTACTATTTCATGTACTAGTTAGCAAAGCAGAACTCTTCAAATATTTGTCATAAAAACCTCTGGTTAAGGAACATTGCACAAATACCAAATATGGTAATCATGTCACCATCACAAGTGGTTTAATTGTTGTAGTCTCCAACTTTTTTTGGGACAGTGTTTGGTGGTTGGCGGTTGATGTCTCTAACAAATGGCCGGAGGTGATATTTTGCATGTTAATGCCTTGTTATATAAATGCATTTAAGATGTTTTACGATTACAAGGATAGTGCTATAACAATAAACCACGGATAATAATTACTGGTTACGCCAAAAATGAGATCAAAGGAGATCAATTATCCATTCATTTTCTACCTGATAATACATTTCCCAGTGCATGATGATTATCACGAAATGAAATGGACTTTTGTGTGCTGGAATGCAATTACGAAGAATAGCCCTTCCAAAAATATCAACGCTGACAAGACATAAAATACTTCAGACTATGTTCAAAATCTACTCTAGTTTGAAATTGTTCATGTACATTTATGGCAATAAATTTTTTTATCATTATATAATATGAATTTCAATCAATTTCAAAGTATTTCATGCCAAACCTGAATATCATGCAAGTTTTGATCAATATCAATCGGGATTGTATTGTATATTGAATCATATTCTGGAGTAATAAAAACTAGGTACAGAATAATCCCATTATTCTATCTATTTGAGTTACTATAGGACAAGTTTTATGAATCAGTACATTCTCTCACAAATCTTCATTCGTTCATGTGCTGATCAAGGTGGAAACTCCAGGGAGCAGCAAATCCAACCAAATCAAATATGTTCTCTTAAATCATTTCTCATTTGAACATTTCATGTGCTAAAAACATTAGATTCAGTAGAAATAGATTTTCAACTTTCCAGATTCATTGTATGTCAGAAAATAGTCTTGCTTCAAGACCCTGGATCCCCCCCTATCTACTTCACAACTGTTAAAGTAGATATGAGGGGGGGGGGTCAAGGGTCTTTAAGCAAGACCATTATCAGAAAACATTATAGGGAGATGAAGAGAGGGAGGGACATTCAGATTTCCAAGACTTTTCTCAGAATTCTCTGGCTCATAATTCTATTTTACCTAATCTGATATTAATTTCACCTAACCTGATATTACCTTAACTTTTCTAGGCCAGACAAATCATTTTGCTTACCCTTGATTATGGCAACCCTGAAGAAATCTCTCACAGAAATTCTTTCACTAGTAAAGGTCTTATGATTACATAATACATATTTGCAGAGATAGAGCAAGAAACAAGTAAAACTCATTGATACCTTCACAAACTTTATTTATGAGTACAAATAGAAACAAACAGTAATGTTTCTCATAACAGCATCTCAAAATAGGTGTAACTTACAGTAAATATCCGACAAGGATGAATTTCAAACAGTGTGGGGTATAACAGCAACCCTGAGCAAGGTATACATTTAGAAACCCTAACCCCAATAACCTTTAGCCTTGTAAAAGCAAACATCAAATTTGGTTAAAATTTGGAACATGACTTTGGTGCTACTGATGAAAGTTTAATTGTTCACCCTTATGTTCAAGTGACAACTGGGGCTAAATAAGGAATAACAAGGAAGAAAAAAGATACCACACCTTTCAAAATATTTAACATGTCACTAGACATTGATAAAATTGTTAAATCTACATTGTTTTATAAATCAATTTTTGCAAATAATCAATTTCTTCATGTATGGTCATTGAAATGGTCAAGTGAAATAAGTGAAATTGTTAAATGAATTTATAAAAGATAGAAATATTTGTAAGGGCCACAAAACAGATGTGTAGTAACTTTTCCATGTAAAAAACATATGGCTGATACATCAACAGGGAACATCTTCAGGGATTATTTCAAAATGTAAAATCTATTGGAATCTGCTCTAGAAATATATGTGTCTTCCTGGGCACCTGCAACGCTTCCAGAGATACGTGTATTCCTCTCTGGATAAACCCTGTATCTTATACCTCCAAGTAAATAAGCCTTATATCATGCATAATTATGTTCATATATAACCAAATTAGATTTCCATTATTCTTTCGATAAAGGCTTAAGAGTGGATGGAAGGCAACATAATTTTATATATTCTGATATACAAGTTTACATTTATACATGCACAGGGGTTTCATTAGCAGTTGGCAACAAGCGATCGGTTGTTATCACAAAATCGCCTGTTGTTTTAGGGACTTTTCAACTTTCCCATGTTAAATTGATAATTTCCATTATAATTTTGCCTGATGTTTTCATTTATTTAGCCTGTTGTGAGAAATTCTAGTGAAACCCCTGCATGCAGATCTTCAAGTGATTATTCGTGTTCAGTTCCCATCATTTATGTATCCTATTATCAGTTCAAGTTCAGGCTTCTTGCACTATCTTTATAACAAATGAATGCAATCAATGTGAATTATTTGAAAGCTTTATGCTGCAACCAAATAGAATTCTATGGGAAAATTATCAGATGGGATTGTTAAAGGGTCTTGTATATAAAACTACTTTAGATAGTGATTTGCAATGAACCCAGTGGTATTGTAGATATGGAAAACTAACACCTTTAACTGCTATATGTTGATACTGACTAATCAAGTGTAAATTATTAAGGCACAAATCTCTCTCAAAAAACAAACATATTAAGGCAATGTATTTTGTAAATCTACGACCACCTATTACCGCCATATCATTCCACAGTGCAACATTTCTTTTAATATTGGCAGTTTTCCACAGATTACTCCATGGAATGCAAAATTTTCAAAAACTTAATATTTTCCAGTTTTCTCCCATATTCAACCACAATTGTTATGACATGTCTTAGAAGGTGTTGGCCTATGGTATCACCCCTGTGTTTTTGCAAATCTGTTGCTGATGTTGTTTTAAGGTGAGGTGATAAATGAATCGGTTACCTAGATGCCAGACCATCAACAAAATCTCACTCTGCACATACAGTTAAACCTGTATGTGAAACAACTTTTGTATCTCAAAATAGTGTTCAACTTAGGATGTGTTCTACTTACAGAGGTTCATTTTACATTTTTACATTAGGTAATGAGAAACAGGACTGAAGTGTTCTTCTTATGGAGGTGTTCTTCTTCATGGTCTTTACTATACTTAAAATTCTAATGTCCACTCCTCACAGTTTAATTCTCATTCCAATGTCATATTTCTCATATTGACCATTGTTTCTAAACAATACACACATAATGTCTGACATTCCATTTTTACATATTGGCATATCATCTTCAAGTCCATTCTGACATCGCATCGTACTATTGCATCGTAGAATCTTGTCCAGAGAGACAGAGATGTAGAATGTGTGGCTTACCACAATGCTTCAAGTCTTCATAAATCATCACTCATATTATTGAAATGCATTTAGAATTTCAAAACATGACCTTGACATGACAGCTGACCTTGACATGACACCTGACCTTGACCTTGACATGACAGCTGAGCAGAATCTTGATGATTCTAGTTTATATTTCGACAGCCTGATGAGAGGCATAAACATCAAATTATCATCCAGCGGCCATTAAAAATTTGTTATGAACATATCTGTTAGAGGTCTGTTACTTAATATTCTGAATGATGAAGAAGGATAAACATAGATAAAAAATATCAACTGTTACATCGCAAAATCGCAACGAACATAACTAAACACTTCTAATCCATCTTGGATTTCCTGGGCATGAGGTGTACTTCTCTTTGCAATCAGATTGATCTAATATAATTTAGACATCTTACCTTGACTTTAGGTACGACTCGTCGCATACAGTCGGCATTGTTGTCACGTAGGAGATCTGGTAGGTTAGTTATAACACTGACTCTCTGTACCTCTTGACCAGAACTGCAAACATAATGTAAAAAAAGGTTAACTTAAAAATAAACAAATAACTTAAAGATAAAATACAATGTAAAAAGCTAACATGCAAAATGTCACTACCTGCCATTTGTTACAGATGCTGACAGTCAAACGCAGTTACAAACACCAGTTACCAACCACCAAACACCAACTGCCGAAAACCTGCCACAAAAAGTTGGAGACTAAAAAACCAGCAGGTTGGCATTGTCTGTATGTGGTCAACTTTGCCCCATATTACTCCTGGTTAAAAAGATGTAAGGGTTCGGATGTTTGGAGGTGCCGAACAGAAAGTTGAACAGACGGAAAAGATCATTACAATATATCTTGTTTAGTGGATTCGATCCCCACTGGGGTGAACAGACTTTTTCAAATTAGCCCTTAGCATTTACGAGTGCGAATAATCAAATTAAACAGTTTTATTGCAAATAGTGTGAGAAACATGCATCAATTTTTCAGAACATTCCAGAACATTCAAAGCGATCATAAATCAGAATATTAGATTAATCACTTTTTCTAATCACTTCTGGATGGCTGCACATGTGTAGCAGAATGCATGACTCACAGTTTCTATGTTAATTTCTTTTGTGTGTCTCATATTTTTATGCCTTTAATAAATCTCCTTCGTGTAATTAATTAATGACCTGTCATTCGCTGCTTTTGGTATAAACCTCGTAGGGATCAAAAAGCACATTAATTCTACCATATTTGGCGCACAATTTTGCATTAACGAGATTACAAAATTGCTAAAGTTAATAGATAGTTTTTGAAAACTCATTAATTAAAGCAGCAGCAAAGAAGAGACAGTGAAAACGTATAGAATTTTATTTTTAAAAAACATGCCGACATTTCTCTTATAATCCTCATAATCTTAAAACAGAAAAGACTCCTAATTAAATCAAATATGGAAGATTTGAAGATTTAAAGATTCAAGATTAGATGCAGGCCCGTAGCCAGGATTTGCCAAGGGGGGGGGGGATAGGGTTCAGTTTTCAAAAATTTCCAGGGGGTTCACATTTGACAATTTTGGCCTAAATATGGCTAAAATCACTTGAGAAGTCCTCAAAATCGTGAAAAACTGCATGATTTTGAAAGAAATTTTGGCCAGGGGGGTTAGCTACAAGCCTGAGATGCATGTTGGATTACAAAGGTATGAAGCTTTTGGAAATCAAACTGGGTAAATGAGTATGGATTGGATTGCAGAAATGTCAAAACTTATTTGATTTGAAAAAGGGAACATTTTAACTTTCAATTTTTTGCTTGATTAAAAATCACACTGGTATGTGAGACTACATATATTTTCCCCACACCTTCACTATGACATCATAAATGTAGCATGGACCTGAGGCCACTAATGCCTAGGCGTAGGCCCATTGTCAAACTTTGTATCATGATTGTAAAGATATATGATAACATGTAAAAGACAAAGGAGGGGACCCGGGGGAGGGGACCCGGGGAAGGGGATCAATAAGCTGATAAGTAAGCATCAGGGATGTTAGGAAAATCTGAATTGTTCATGCTTCAAAATACATTCTCATAGTGATCACTGACTACCCTGGTAAACTTGTACTCTTACAGCACTATAAAATTCGATTCGCACTGAGGCTACAAAACTGTCAGAACAGATACTAACTGCATGATTATGCCGCTACAAATATTTCACCACTATAATCGTGGAATCTGATTTTTCTTCATAACTGAAGTTTGTACAATTTTACATGGTCACCTATAGTTATTTAGGCAAGCATATAATCAGGAAATTTGTTCATTTGATTCCTTAGTGATTTTTTAGAATTCTGAGTGTTATCACTGAGATGTAATATTTATGTTAGGAGATAGATTCTATCCCTGGAAAGGTCAGCTTGTCAGTTGTCATGACAACAAACGATGACTGATGCAGCCTTAATTCCTCAGCTTGATGAAATGAACACATTAGCCGACCACTATCCCTTGTATTTCATGTCAATAGACCGCTATCCCTTGTATTTCATGTCAATAGACCGCTATCCCTTGTATTTCATGTCAATAGACCGCTATCCCTTGTATTTCATGTCAATAGACCGCTATCCCTTGTATTTCATGTCAATAGACCGCTATCCCTTGTATTTCATGTCAATAGACCGCTATCCCTTGTATTTCATGTCAATAGACCGCTATCCCTTGTATTTCATGTCAATAGACCGCTATCCCTTGTATTTCATGTCAATATACCACTATCCCTTGTATTTCATGTCAATCGACCAAGATGAACAAAATATTCAGACTTTTACACTTGATAATCCTTATATAATAACTTATGATACTGAATTAACTGAAATATTTGTTATAATATAATCCCGGGAATATACAAAGGAAATTGGACACTTTCTGTGCTACCACAGATTATTGCCCACAGTATGATACAGGATGGGGATACCCATTCTGTATATAGAAACATGATGCCATAGACAACATACGGTATAGTCAACACACACAGTCCATAATACAGATATCATGATGTCAGTCTATGACAAAGATTCAAAATTCAAAAGGAATGGTTATATCTTACTTTTATTTCACATATAAAAAAATAAATACATTAACATTTAAAATTCATGAAAACAGCAGGATTGGTATGGCAAATGATTTAAAACAGTTGTATCTTTGACCAGGACTATATAATGTGACCGTATATTTTTTCATTAACATAACATATTATTACCACCTTGCCGGGCCAGTTCTAGGGGTTTTAGCGCTAGTTTAGAAGGCGTTTATTTTACTATATCGACCTGAGAAATGTGTGACGTCATAGTGGTGGTCCATATGGACCGGTCTAGAATATATTCTGGACCGGCAATTTTCCCCGGGAAACTAGATATCGTTCAATGCGTAAGATTTTCTTGCTGTTTCAGTCCTGGTCGTTAAGGGTGGTAATAATACTAATAATAACGTCATTTCTGCGAGCGATATAGTGAATTATCCTACACTTAGTGTACTAAATGTATAATAACATGAAAAAATAAATTTGATATTTATTGGCAAAATGAATATCCGGAGGATATCGTAACGATATACTCCGGGCGGAGGATATCGTGACGATATACTCCGGAAAACCCAATATGCGGAGGATATTGTGACGATATACTCCGCTTGTTGATTTCCCGCCAAATTGACTCTATTTGGCATGAAATTCATTTTACATTGATATTATACATTCAGTACACTCCTTGTAAGTGTAGGATAATAAGAACATCCTATGATTTTTTTCAGAATATCATTTTAATCTACTCGGTGATATTGATATATGCACTCGTTCGCTTCGCTCTCTCATGCAGATATCAATATCACCTCGTAGATAAAAATGATATTCCTCAAAATCATAGGATATCCTATAAATATTGGACCTTGGGCCTTCGGCCCTTGGTCCCATATTTCACTATATCGCCCTTAGAAATGACGTTATTGTACTATTATATCTTGAGTAAAATGATCAGGAAAATGAAATCAATCCAACTCTCCTTAGATAAAACCATTGTTATAAACCCCATCTCGAGATATTTTTGAAACTGTCAAACTAATTTTTGAAAAAGATGACCATCACTTTCTCATCTATCATTCTAAAAGCTCTATACTCTCCCATGCTATCTTACCTATGGTAGCCACCTGGATGAAAAAGATAAAACATTGAAAAAATCACTTTGTAGTTAATTTGCTTCTATTCGACTGTCAGCAGGGATATGAAGATAATTTATTAATATCTATTGTTTCCAGTTGAGAAACACTAGGGAAATTATCACCAGATAAAGTAATAAAGTCATGCAACATTACATGGCAAAACATCAAATATCCAAGAGAATGCCCAATAAGGAGTAAATACGTAAATTGGAAATTATAACATAATGATTTTATTATGGGCCTGAAATTTTTAGGGTCTAAAATTTGAATTTTTATAAAATTGGCCCACATGTTCAATAGGCATGCATGATTTTGAAGAACATCTCAGGATACATGAAATGAATGCCAATGGCATACTTTATTTATAGCTTTTTAGAAAAACACCGAAACTATGGCATAACAAATCCTTCTAATCTTTTTATCAAATTATCCTTCATTCTAAACATTTCATGTTGCTAGAAATAACCAGACAGTGGGAAATAATGTTCCATTCCCAAGATAGTACAGAAAAATGCTTGACTTGGTGAGAAACAATGGTCTTATCCCAAGATCGGACATTATTGGTTGTGGAGTTATTATGCAATACACAGACAGACACCCAGACAGATGATAGACTTTCTCGTATACTTTCTCAACTAGAACTGCATACAGTATAAGTGGGAAAAACAACATGTGAGCTTAAATTCACCAATCCATGAGTAATTGATATTTTGAGGGATTTTTGAGATATATATCATATATTCAGGGGTGTAGCCAGCAATTGTCAAGGTGTTTTTTTGGATTTGCATCAATGCAAGTAAAGCAAGTCCCAAATTTTTAAAAAATTCACATTGTATATGGTAAGTATTTCTATTTTCTTACTATAACTTGTTCATGTTTTTCGACAATTTTTACAACTCTTTTTTGTGACACCCCCCCCCCCTTGGTTACGCCCATTACACTTGCATTGACATTTTAAGAAATATACAGTTCAGTAGGAAAATACGAGCTTATTCACCAATGCAGTACTTGATATTTTGAGAAATATGTTCTAATCCGAAGTGACTTTTTATGTACATGTCAGTAACATACACACTCAAGAAACAAAGCATATTGATTACCCCATTGAACCACTTCAAAATTCATATCCTGGTGAAAAAATCTGAGATATGTCTTATATAGCAAATATTTTGTCTAAGAATGTTTGAGGAATTGATCTGAAAGCCTCTTATGTCCCCTCACCTTGTCTTATAAGTTGATATTAAATCATAATGTGATTTGGTATCATTAAAATCGAAAATATATTAAGAACGCTTAATTTAGCTTTAAATGCACGTTTCAGAGAAAATAGTTGA